CTACTCCCTCTTGGTGCATCTTTGTTGGGGGCTAGGATTTTTAATTTTGTTTCTTTCTCGCATGGAATTTGTTCTTGAGAGACAAGAAGGACCTGTACTTGAGAGGTAAAAGATGTAGCCAAGGGGGAGAGGGAGGAGTGCAGCTGGCTGCACTGTCTGAGGGGCATTCTTTTGGGAAGGGCAGGGATTCCTCGAGATTTTGGGTTGGGGGCAAGGGCACAGCTCATAGTCCTCTCTTGCTGTCAGCATTGGGGGAGAACAGTCGAGCTGTTTCTTGCTGTGGGGAGAATTCCCTGCCACAGCTGGAGCCCAGCCCTGTACTGCTTCTTCCTTACTGTGGGTGAGCCTTTTCTCCTAAGAGTTCCTGTTGGACTGGGGCCTTATCAACACCCTCCCTCATTAGAAAGTACCCTCACCATCTGCTCCGGGTGAGAAGGAGGGCGGAGTACAGAACTCCAAGGCCCTGAGCCACCTCTGAGGGACTTTCCCCAGCTGTGTGGGAGCCCGGCTGCCATTGCCCAGCTCTGCCGCTTCTCTGCCACAGCTCTGGGTTCTTCCCTGCCACTCCTTGCCCTCCAGGACACCCCCCAGCTCCTGCTACAGTGCGGAGTTTCTGACACATTTTGTTTCTGTCCCCCCCCCCCCCAGGAATTTGCTTGCCTCTGCCGTTCCAGCTGCTGCGCCGAGTTTCCTGCCAGAGCTCCTTTTGCCATCCAGAGGGGCACCACGACCACTGCTGGAGCACAATTTACCACCCTCAGTGGCACTGAGACCGGCTGCTCCCCGTGAGTTTTGCAAAGGGAGCCACCTCCCCTCTCCTCCACCGCCTGAGCCGCCATCGCCTCATGAGGGAGCCGAGCTCGCGCCACAGCGCCCCCTGCTGGCGCGGGGGAATCACCGCACCCGCCCTGCCCGGCCGGGAGCCAGCAGCGCCCCTGCTGGCTGTGTCCGGAACTGCACCAAAGGGGAAAGCGCCTGCGGCCGAGAGAGGCCAGGCCTGGCTGTTGGTTCTATTTGGTTTTTGTTTGAGTTGTTATATATCTATTTATTATTAAATGACTGTTATTCTTTTTCCTATATATTTGCCTGAAAACCCCATATTATAATTTATATAATTATATAATTGTATTTATACAATATGTTATAATAATTCACAGGGAAGTGGGTCGTATTTTTCCATTCCCAGGGAGGTTCTCACCTTCCCTGGCAGACAGCTGTCTTTCAAACCTAGGCACTGCTCCAGGATATTGATAGGAAAAAGAAAGGCAGAACTGAGCTTTTAGGGCAACGAATTGCCAGCATGTTTGGCTTGTGGGTGGCTGTGAGCACAGGCTGGCAGGGTGTCTGGTTCTGTTTGGTGTTGTTGTTTGAGTTGTTATACATGCATTTATTAGTAAATTACCATTATTCTTTTTCCTATATATTTGCCTGAAAACCCCATATTATAATTTATATAATTATATAATTGTATTTATACAATATGTTATAATAATTCACAGGGAAGTGGGTCGTATTTTTCCATTCCCAGGGAGGTTCTCACCTTCCCTGGTAGACAGCTGTCTTTCAAACCAAGACACTGCTCCAGGACATTGATAGCAAAAAGAAAGGCAGAACTGAGCTTTTAAAGCAATGAAATGCCAGCATGTGTGGCTTGTGGTGGCTGTGAGCACAGGCTGGCAGGGTGTCTGGTTCTGTTTGGTGCTGGGTTGTTATATATATAGTTATTAGTAAATGACTGTTATTCTTTTCCCATATCTTTGCCAGAAAGCCCCATAATTTCAAAGTTATAATAATTCGGAGGGAAGGGTGTCATATTCTCCATTCCAAGTAAGTTTCCTGCCTTCCTTAGCAGACCCCTGCCTTTCAAAGCATGACAGTCTCACCCACAGAGTGTGGTAGCTGACATCTGTCCTGCTGAGCAAGTCAAAATGGTGAGAGCTCTCTCCTGTGGCAGAGAGCATTAAAAGCATCCTGAAAGAATAAACCTCTTTCCAAGAGGTTACATGAGAAAGCATTGTGAACAACAAAGGAATCTGAATAGCAGGGGGAATATTTTGCTCACTGGCGAACTGAAAATATTTAGTATTTTGATATAAATAAAATATTTAGTATTTCGATATAAAATAAAATCTATTTAGAGTGAAATACTAAACCCCAGCTGAAAGGCTGGTGTTTGGGAGAAAGTGTGGGCATATATTTAACAGGATACTCAAAGCAAACCTCAAAACTTCTTTGAGTTTTAATTTGCTAGAAGTAATTCAAATACATGGAATGAGGTTTAAAAATATTCCCCCCCTTGTTTTCTTTAAATTGGATTTCCTCATAATATTCTTTTCAATCTCAATATTTTATTTGAGAGGGTAAACCAGACTCTGTTTCACTTTCTCTTCACATAAACCTTTTGACATATTTTGATAAGATGATAAATGTATTCTTTTCTTGTTTTTTACTTAAACAGTATCAAACTCCATGATGAATGGTCAAAATAGCTTTTTTAAAATAGCTTTTTGTGCCACTGAATCCTTCTGTTTTCTTATACAGCATTAAAAATACAATGTAATAATCATATTCCTGCATTTGCTGGGTATATTCTGACCAGCATGTTCTGTTTCCCCCAAATACTAAAAAGTTCCTGCTAAAATTAGATCTACTGATGTAAACTGATCTTCTTTCTCTGATCTCTCCTGCTCTCTTCTGGCCAAAGTGTTTATTGTTCTCACAACACTTTCAAATTTATGAAATCCAGCAAATAGCTCAAGCAGGAGGAAAAAAAAAACCAAAAAGCCAACCAATCAAAGAAACCACCCAAACCCCACAAGAAGTGTTGCGCCTCCACATGCCACAAATTAAACTCTCTGCTCTTCTTTTGCTCTTCTTCTGGCCTTGCCAGCCAGTGAAGTTGGAAACTCTTGCTATGTGATACAGAGGCTTTGGAAAGTCCAGGATCAGGAAGCTGAAAGAGCTGAAAAACTGCATTTGAAGGTTCAAACTAAAGCAGGATTACATCTGGAAGTGATTTGTAACAGAAGAAATGGAGTAGAATACAGGCAGCACTTGCAGCGCTGCTTTCAAATTTCCTCAGTATTTCTAAAGGAGTTTTAAACAACAAACTATTCAAGGAATTGGTGGTAAAAATTTCCTGGGCTGGAGGAAAGATGTCTTGATGGGGTTAAGGAATGGGTTTGTGCCCTGAGAAGCTGTTACACCTAAGTCAGGTCTTCCAGAGGTGTGGATGTCTGGCTAAGCAAGCAGCAAGTCTGAACCAGCAAGGAATGCAACCCAACCTTCTGGCTTCAGACAATGAAGAGGCTGATAAGAAAATGAGGGAATACAAGTTCCAGAGTGCCTGGAGCCCAGGATAAGGATATTGTGAGGAAGCTGCTGATATTTTCATGATATCTTCCTGCAGCTGAGGTGCCCTCAGGAGCTCCAGTCCTTGGATGTCTGCCGAGGAGTTTCTCAATGGGGCTTCTCACATCAAGTTCTGCTTGTGGACCTGGCTTTTTCTGCCAACAGGTGAGTTTGTTTGCATGGCACAAACCTGTGGATATGATACTTCTTTCATTTAATCCAGCTGGGAATTCAGGGGTTGTGCTTTGGAGCTATCTGCTTTAGGCACCCTGACACCAAGGGTGTGCTTTGAACAGCTGTAAGGGGTCTAAAGGAACAGGCAATGAGGGGAGGGTGGGACTCAAAGGACAGCCTCAGATATGGTCACTTGCTGTGGGACTCTGGGAAAACCCAAATTATCCTTTGGTGGATAATTCACTCTATAAATCAGGACACAGCCATTAAATCCCTTAAATCTTGTTCTGTAACAAAGCGGTGCAGGGACGTGGAAGAGGATGGAATTATTTAAATACACAGAACTGGCCTGTTCTTGTCTTTAAATTATTTAGAATTAATAAAGGTTTTTCTATCTATTTTATAGAAATATATAGTTTTTGCAATTATATATGTTATAGTAGCATCAGTGGGAGAGTTCCCTTTGTCGAGCAAGTTTGTGTATTTGGAAATCTGGGTGACACATTTAAAACTCTTCAGTGATGTGATCTGCTGCTTTTCAGCTCTTTTTCCTTCCTCATCTCAGCCAGCTTTTAGCTGAAAATATTGGTAGGGATTGCACATAGGGGATGGCTTGGAAATGTAATTAATTTGTATAGAAATAATTTGTAATTTGAACAATAACCCTTCATCCCTCCCTTTCCTTTACTTCCTTCCTTCCTCACTATGCTGTACAGTAATTTTGGGAATGGCACCTGGGAAAATTCCAAGTGCCAGTTGTGCTGTGGCTGAGCTACAGAGAAAAACTCACCTGGACATGGTGAGAAGGGATTATTTTGTGATACTGGGAGTAACTGCTGAGCAGGAGCCACAAACACTTCAATTTAGCCAGAATAACCCTGAATAAAGACAAAATCCTGGCTGTTCTTGGCAGCCAAGAAGAAAATATTATCAGCTGCTGATTCTAATTGTTTCCTTTTTTCTTATTTGCTGTAAGTAAATGTATTTTGGGACTGCTTGGCTGGAGTGGAAGTGATGGACTGAGCTGTTCTGGAAGGGATGCCCAGATGTTTTTTTCAGCAGATCCTGATATCCATGCAGAATGTTTTTCTCCTGCACAGAGTGGGACACAGAGAGATTGCGTTCCTGGGAAAAGTAAAAGTTTTGAATACATTTTTTATTTGCTCTAAGGAAAATCTGCATGTATTCAGTTATTTCAGAAAGCAGCACAGAATTATTGATTTCATCACAATCATGTCTGTTAGCATACCATACCAAGAAAGGAGTGTCTGGTTTTAGACCTGCTGATATTTTCATGGATCTTTCACAGCTTTAAATATTTAATCCCTGCCTAGAATTCTCAAATCACTTTAAAACAAACATTATCATTACCTTGATGTGATAAGGAACAGTTAAAAATCATAAGGTGCCACTTAAATTTCATGAGAGGAGGGAGGAGGAGTTTTTGTAAAGGGTGGAGCTGCTGTGGGCACGCTCATTGAGACGCTGCAGTTTGTGTCTGGATTTCGGCTGACAGTGCTTTCAGGTGAGCTGCTCCTCCTTGGCTGGAGAAATGTGGGGGTGATGTTTCCATTTACTCCCATTTACAATTCCAAAATGGGAAAAAAAAAAAAAAAGACGGAAGCACAAATCACTTCCCTGCCAACTACAGTTTGGGGAAGTAAGAGATCAGTGAAATTAGGATAATTAAGATAGTCTGATATTAAGATAAGGAATTAAGATAAACGGATATTAAAATTAAGGAACTAAGATAATCAGTAAAATTTCTGCTTGCAGTAATTGCTTTCAAAGCTTTAGTCTAATATAGCAATGAGGCATCTCCCCAGAGATATCATTCAGAACAGAAAATGCAGCTGACTAAGAAAGAGTGGAAAAAACACTGCAAATGGATGGATGTAAGCAAATTATATCACATTATTCCCTGTGCATTTAGATGAACTTAATACACAGAGATGACCATTTTAATTTAATTTTTATTACTTTATCTTTTATTTTACTTTAAACTTTTATTAATTTTAAAATGCCTTTTTCTTTTTATTATCTACGTTTTATTTTGATTCAAGTTTATTTAACTTTTGAAGGCCAGTACCAATAAATCAGATGTTTTCAGTTTGATGCCATTCTGCAAATTCAGTCCTGTTTCTGGCTGGACAAACTGCTTGTGGTTGCCAGTCCAGTGTTCCATAAGAAAGGGTTGGGAAGCTACTGCCTGTTCAGAGACAGAGACACCATACAGAATTTGTTTGTTCTGTGTGGAAGGGTTTGAGGTTACATTTGAGAAAGGAAAATTTGGATTAAAATCCTACAAGGCTTTTTTTTTTTTCTGTAAATCAGCAATTTGAAAAAGATCTAGAAGCACGAGGTGAAAAATGAATGACATGCCTCAGTCTGTATTGATTTGCTTCTTTTTAAATTCAATTATTTTACAAACCTTTCTATGGTACTGAAAACTCCTGTGGAAAATACCAGCTTACTTTTTGTCAAGGGATTATATCTCACACCAAAACCCACTCAGCATAAGAACTTCTGAGTTTGTTTGTGGGTTTTTTGTCTAAAAGCTTATTTCTCCTTAAATATGAGGAATGCATGGACCAAGTCCAAATGTGGGAAAACATCTCCATGAAATCTCTTGATTTACAGCTAAAATAGACAGGAGAAAATAATATTTTTTCCTCAGGAAATCATCAGCAGTAACCAGTGTCCCTGAAGTCAAAGTGACCAATTTACACTGCTCTCAGCACAGGTTACTGGTTTATCTCTCAGCAGCACTAGAGCAGCCCCTACAGCCCCATTGGGTGAAAAACAGGTGTTTTTTATAGTTTTATAGTGAAATTCTAATGGAGAATTCTGAGAAGGAAAGTGATTGGAGCAGAAGCATGTGGTTGTTTCAAACAGCTGCTCTACATGGAGTTAATTGGAATTACACTCAGAAGTGCCTTAAAGAAAAGGGTGTTTTACACCAAGCTGAAACAAGGAATTCTTCATGTTCAAGTTGTGACAACTCATCAAGTTTCAAGTTTTTGCAAAATTTCTTGAGTTTTCGGGAAGTTTTTTACAGTTGTGATATACCAGTTTTGAGAAAATAAATTTCTGTCAAGGAAGACCTTAATAATAAAGTCAAGGAATTCTGAAGAACAGTAAAGAACCTGATCATTCCAGAGTAGCTATGAACCAACAATAAAATGTTCCTGGAATTGTGTGGCTTCCACATGTTTTAAAAATAATAGTTCAGAGTGGCATTTTGAGGTGGTCTTGTGATAATTCCCACAGCAATGGGAATGTTGGAAATGGCAATTCACTCAGCTTTGGGACAAGGATTGCTCTGAAGGTAAATCCAAGTGAGTATAATATAAAGGGAATAAGGAAAAAACAATGTGAAGGAAAAAGAATTTTCAGGGTATATTCCACTCTTCTGTTTGCATGTAAGTTGTCAGTTATTGATGTGTAGCTGGCCTTGTGTAGGCTAGAAAAAGAAAATACTGAATTTGGAGGCTGCAATGCCAGTTTCTAGAAATCTCTGTGCATCTGTTGGAATGCAAATAGAGGAGTTGCTCTGTAGATTGCCTGTCTACAATTTTAGTTATACAAGAAGATTATAGAAGTGTTTGTGGTTTTGTTGTTTGGTTTGGTTGGTTTTGGGTTTAGTCTTGTTTCATTGGTTGGTTTTGGGTTGTTTTTTTTTTTCCCCAAACTGGAAATGTGAGAACAAAAACAAATTTATAACTTAGAGAGGAATAAATCCTTAAGGCTTCATCATCTGAGAACAAAAGCAAATTCATAACTTAGAGAGGAATAAATCCTTAAGGCTTCATCTCCTTGGATGAGGAGTTTTGTCAGTTTTGAGGTGAGATGCCTGATGTTGCAGGCTGGTGGAAACTGGGATAAGCCCTAACTGAGGTGGATGGACAAAGTGCTGTAGGAAAATTCCACTCCTGTCTTGCTTTTTCTTGTTCATCTTGCTCAGAGTTAATTATTCTGATTTCTACAGAATAAAAACCTCGATTTGAAACCTTTGTTTTGAAACCTTTGCTGCTATCACAGGAGGAGGGACCACAATCTGTGATAGATGTGAGCTGGGCTGGTGAGATAGGATCCCACAGCTCTGGGATTCGCTGTTTGGAATTGTCATGAGGATTTTTTTCCCAAGCATTTCAATCACAGAATGGTTTGGGTTGGAAGGGACCTTAAAGACCACCTCACTCCAGTCCCCTTCTCCAGACCTCATCACCTTCTCCAGGTCAGGTTTTGACCTAGAAAGTTTGAGAAGAAAACACCCTGAGAGATCTGTGAGCACACATCAAAGCTGAAAATCTCCTTTCACTCAGAAGCTGCTGCCAGCAGTTTTGGTAAAGCTCTTTGTCACTGTGAAACTCTGGAGGTGGCTACAACAAGCTGGCTTTTGGAAAAGGGACAAAACTCTCTGTTTATCCAAGTAAGTGCCAGAAATGTATCAAAAACTGAACTTTATAATACTGTCTGGGTTTGAAAAGACAGGTGTCTGTTTAAGGAAGGCAGGAGCTGCTCTTGAAATGGAAAATGAAAATTCCTTCTTTCTGAATCATTACAATTTTGAAGAATTTTTGCATGTCCTTACCTGAACTTGATCACTGGAATCTATTGATGGGAATTTTCTTGAGTATCTTTATCTTCCAACAATTTTTCTTAGTTTTTTTTTGGCAACCTGCAGTTTTAGTGTTTAGAAAATATCTGTGTACATGGATTTTCATCCCCAGGTAAGCTATCAGACTATCTGTAGGAGCAGGTAAGAACTTAATAGTTTTTAAAAATACCCATTTTCATTATCTGCATGTGAAATAAATGCAAAGCAGCTTTCATTTCAACTGCAGTGGCTCAGAGTTTTGGATGAGAATATTCCAGCCTGTGGGATTGGATGTGGCACAAGCCTTTAATAGAATGAGAAGAAATTTGCTGCTGTGTGTTTTGGCAATGTTCACAGGGAGCAACTTCTTTTAATTTTAAGCCAGATATATTTGCCAGCAAATGAGATACCAGTAGAAACTGAGTCCATTAAGGTTTTTATTACTGCACACAGCATTGTTCTAAGTTCTCCCTGCAACTGGTAATTCACCTTCACAAATGGAAATAAGCTATTGGGGAAAAAATGTTGGGTTTTTTTCCTCATGAAGGATTACCTTGTAATTGTTTTTATGGCTAAAAGTAGACATACAGTTAAGATGGAGTGATAATTACTCCTTGGTGAAAAAAAATCAGTTTCCAGTTTAAAGGAGGAAGAAAATGAAGGGATACATCCAATTAGGTGCAACAGGTTGATGGTGATATCTCTACTTAAGCCATGAGTCTTATTCCATAATTAATTATGGGTATTATAATTTACTACTCCCAATTTTGTTTAGTTCGTTTCTCTTCTAGGAAAGGAGGAGGTAAAAAGGCAAATATATTTCTTTGGATGGTTTTTGCAAAGCACTTTCTGGCTGTGTGAACACAGGAAATGTTGGGAAATTAACTTTTGGACAAGGAACAAGAATTACTGTAAAACCAAGTAAGTGAAGAGGGATAATTTAATAATTACACTTCTGTGTTCTTTTTTTCTAAGTATTTAATTTGGTTGAAGGTTTAGGAAATCTTATCTCTGTTCTGGTGAGTCCAGAAGACTGAAAACCTTTTCATTATTGATTTTTCTTAACCCTTCTCAAATGTACTGTGTTACCAGGGCAGTGGCATGGAATGATTTAGACAAACCTTTTTTGTTCTTTTGTAATCAATATATTGACACAATAATGGTTGCAGAGAAATGTTGCAATACTAAATACTGTCTTTTTGTACCCATGAAATATACCCAAAATTGGGGGGAAAAAAGTGAAATAGAAGACTTGTTTGCTTTTACAGACCCAAAATACATACTGAAGTGAGCAGAAAAGTATTAAATACTGTGATGTATGATAAGATTTAGTTTAGCAAAATTTTAAACAGCAGAAGTAAATTGCTGTGGGTACCATCAGCAGCAGAGCAAGACATTTTCCTTTGCACTGGCTTCCACAGTGGAACAGATTCCAGAGAATCTGCTCAGTTTCTCTGCAGTGGTTTTTATAAAGACCCTTCTCACTGTGTGTCTTCTGGTGACAGGAAGGTCACTTTTGGTGGAGGAACTCATCTCTTTGTGCTTCCAAGTAAGTCTTCCAGGAAAAGCAGTGTTCCAGCATTTGTTTTCACTCAAAAATGGTGTTTTGTCACATCCCAGCTCCAGTGAGAGCCCGTTCTGTGCTGCTCCTGAGTCCTCAGCAGAGCTGGATGCAGAAATGTTCTTGTGCTCTGCTCCAGGCATCTTCTTCCAGATTTGTCTGGAATTATGAATTCAGATTCCTCCTAGAGCCTCACAGAACAAACAGACAGGATAACTGCAAGTGTCTGTTCAATTCTGGGGGCTTTTTAGAAAGGAGTTTGTATCTAAGTCTCCAGAGCTGGGTTTTCACACCCAAGCCAATATCAGACTTTTTCAGGGGCTAGGACACGTTTCCTACCCATTCACAGGTTTTGGCAGGGCTG